ACTATATAACACAGCAGCTAATAGCCATGTACAAATTCAGTGCGCATTTCCCCAGTAATTTGCATGCGTGAAGCTTAACATCCATTGTGCAACACCAGTGCATCATCCTGTGCGCCCCAACCAATGTTACTAGCACCATAAGCAGGAACAACCAAAGGGGAGCTTGAGTCGGTCCCCATTAAAATTACACAGTTACCGTGAGAAATGTGGTTGGGGCGGTCACAGCCTGCATCAGACAGGATGCTTGTCTAGGGAATCCTCCTCACTGCTCTTCCCGGCTGGCTACTGGGGAGCAGTTTTCCCTTCTCTTTCTCTCTCTCCTCCTATTCTTTCCTAAGGTAACTTTGAAGTCAATATATGCCATCAGCTTCTGCCTCCAGCAGTGAAGCTTTGTAAGACTGTTTTGACTTTCTTTGTGCAACAGCATGAATCACTTTGAGGTTCCTACTCATAAAAATTGTATAGTACCTACTTCTCTGGAATACAGAACAAAACGTGAAGCTTCTTATTATCTGATTACAGTTAGTAAGTCCTGCCCATAATATGAATAAACTAATGTTAGGAAAGCAATATTTGACAGAATGAAACACGTGATTTCCAGAAAAATAAAACTTACCAATTGCCCTAAACCAGGCTATAATATTGCTATAATATCTTAAAGGCCGTCCTTCTCACCGTTTAAAAAAAAAAAAAAAAATCTTGATAAAACTTGAATATGAGGGAACTGACTCTTAATAAGACATAAGCTGTTATGAAACACAAAGAAGAAAAAGCCACTGATGTATAGCTTGTTATCTAATTTTCTCTTTAAACATGCAAGCAAATACATTGGTCCAGGTGCTAATAATGAGGCTGGCAAGAGTTATAAGAAAGCTAATTAAATACGACCAATGGGGAAGATAGAAGAGAAGCAGTCAACAGATAATTAAGAACTTTAAATAGCATCCATTCATTCTGATTAAAACACAAAAAAAATTATTGTGCTTTTTTGTTGTAGGAAGGCCTTTAATTTAGGCAAATTGCTTTTTCAATTGGAAGCTTAAGGAGATATGGATTTGAGGTCCAAGTAAAAGCTATCTTCTTCAGTAACCTATTAAGTTTCCCGTTACTGCTTAAACTGTACATTTATCTTTCAACAATACACATGAAAAGTGATCTTTTATACTATAATATTGTACTTTAGTCAAAACACTAGATAAAAATCAGGTTTCCAAAAATATTCAGGATAGATCCAAAATAATTTAGCTTGCTTAAATCACAGAAACAGATTGAATTCCCTATACTGCATGCATATATTATACCCAAATGGTTTATTTTCTTATATTCTCAATTACAGATACTTGGAGGCATTGTAATCTAACTAGGAAGCACAATTGCACAAAACTGCACTGTATCGTGTATTGCATATTTTACTACCCTCTCTCTTCTTTCCAGCTACTTTTCTTTTATGCCAACTGTACTCACTGGACTGAAAGTCATTTAAGAAGGTCAATTAAGATTTAGGGATCAGCGATATCAAAATAACTTCTGGTTATTCTCTCAGGCTACTCTTAAAAGCTCTACCAAAGTTTTCTCAATTGATTTGGAGCTACCGATCTTCTTTGGTTATACTTATCTTAGGAAAATCATTTTACAGGCCAGGTTTAGCACTTGGATAATCCCAGAAATATTATCAAAAAGTTACGTTATAGAAAACATCAGGAAATGTGACAGGAACTATTACAAAATAAGGAACTGGCTTTTTCTTTTTGGGAACACTAAAACAGATTCTGCATTTAATTTCTCAAGGATTGCTTATTTCTGTTAAACACAGTCCTCACTACCTTCTGTTTAACATATCTGAATATCTGATGTTACTCTTTTAGACTCTCAAAATGGACATGTAAATCTGCTATTGCATTCTGGTAAAATGTCTTTTTACTGGGTCTAGTCAGATGAAAGTAGTATAATCTTCCTAAAAGAACACAAAGAAGTTACTAGAAAATGCACACATCTCAATTTAATTAATTGCTTTTGCCAGCTGTGTAGTTACTTCTTCAACCCAATCATTTCTAAACATAGTATATCAGGAAATGAAGGATATTTTAGCTACTTTAATAATAAAAAAAACCCACATTTTTTTTTTCATAGACAAAGAAATTACACATTGCAGAAAAAGCCTGTTCTCTAAACTTGCTGGATTTGGTGAGAACACCAAATCAGACTCTAGCTGACAGAAGACCAATAAACTCTGCACGATGGCTGTTAAAGAACTGATATGTACACTGAAACTCATGAAAGTCCTAACAATTTTTCAATTATTTAGCTTTTTTAAGCTGACCCTTGGAATCTAGAAAGACAGAAAATATGAAACATGATCAGATAATTAATCTCATTTAAAATTAAGCTGGAGCACTGGAATATAGCTTTCTATCTCTAGGATGCTATCTACCAATACAGATGCATTTGTAACAGGTTAAATAACCCTTAATTATGTAATTTTAATGTCTGCTAATTTACTGCACTTTTGAAAGCTGAACAAGAACGTTCCTCATTTACCATGTAAAAAAACCCAGCGAATACAGTTTTCTTGTTAGAATGAACTTTCAGTTATACATTTAGGAAGAGCAGGGTGCTTTTCTTCCTGTTTTTTTGTCGTTTTTTTTTTTTTAATTTTATAATCTAGCATTAGCAACCTAGTCACAAGAGAAAACATCTTTTTTTCTTTTTGTAGTATGCGAACCATTTTGTTGCATTTCAAGTCATATCAACAGTCTTCTCTACATTAAAAGCAGATATTACTAAGCAAAACCCACCTACTTTGATTAACCGAAATACTTACACTTCTGTATTTGACAATATATTCCAAAATGGGGGCACCTCCATCATCTTGTTTAGTTATGCTAAGTTTAAAACTCTTGCCACTTCCTGGTTGTCCATGGATTGAAGGGGGGCTTGGCTCCCCTAAACAAGGGAAAAAACAGTAGATAATAATAGTTCAGCTATAAAAGTCTTAATTTACAGTTGGGAGCTTGTCTGCAAGATTGCTAATCAAAAGCTTTAAAATCAGCATGATCCTTCCAAGCGCTGCAGAACATCCTTAATAAGTGTGTTAAATATTTTGCTTAACATATGTTCTAATGTAGATTAATTATCTCACACAAGGAAGGAAGATTACATCAAGTATGAAAGAAGTATTTGTTTCTTTGAGACTTTCCAACTTTTGACAGGTTCAAATGTAATTTACTTCAGAAGTGATTTAGCCATCAATTCAGCAAGGCTGGTGAGCTGCTAGTTACACTGAAGTTTAAGAGTAACACTATCTTACAGGAAAACAACCTTAACATTAAGCATGAGCGTTAGTCCCATGTGTGAGATCTAAACTGTAATACCGATATTAGCTAACTTAACTCTTTGATAAATGTGCCAAGGCAAAATTAGATACTTTTAGAATAGTCTATATTAAGAATAAATATAAAGAACAAGATTTCCATAAGCAAAACCAATTTTCTCTGTAATGAAAGGATAAAAATAATATTAAATGTACAATTGAAGGATTAACAGCCAGCTTAAGCCAATTTACTAATGGAAATTCACAGACTAATTATAATTTCTATACGCAATGCCTATTATAATATTTTAGATCAGATCCTAAATAAACATGTGTTGTCATACTGAAGTGTCTTATCTTCAAAATATCTGTAAATTTGCATTCACCCAGAGATACAATTCCTTTAGAAATATTTGTAATATTTACATTTATCCGTTATCATAGTAAAGATAAACTGACTGAGATCTCAACATAGAATTCGTCTAGCTTTCTATTACATGACATACATATAATTTCTATCCGTTTCTATCACTTTTTTATCAGGTATGATGTTCCATATGAATAATAGCAAATTATTTTATCTGTCATTCAATATATTTAGAATACGCATATGCTTTAATCAAAAAGAAATTTGAAATCTGACAAGTTACCAGTTTTGGACAGAAGAAATGTATCAATAAGAACACAATATAGTAACACAGGAATATTTTGTGTTCTTTGTAGTCACCTGACTTTTGTTGTTCATTCCATTAGGGCCAGTATTCTCAGCTATGCCCTACTCAGAAAACACTTCAGTTGCAACAGATTATGAGACTAGTCTAGTAATAGTTGATTATGTATTTTGGTATTTCTGTTTGAGTACTATACAGTGCCATCTGGTAGTTCCTTTATTTTTCTTTTCCCTTGTTGTTTAATTTATTTATTATTGTTTCTCTTTAAAAGTAATTCCAGAAAAGTATTTTTCATTAGCTCTTAATATTTAAATCTGAATTTCTTGCCTACAAAGGTTACTACAAATATAGAATTAGCTTTATACCATTTATCATTTGCATGTAATCGTAGTTAAAACAATTTATTCTCACCATTTTTCCATAGCTTACGATTTCTGTTTGAGGCTTGAAAATTGCAAAACTTGTGACAGCATAGTTTGCTGAAGAGATGTCTCCAGAAAGGGCCAATTAATTTCTCACAGATGTCTATAATACCCTTGGTGTAAATGAGAAGTTGTCCTTAATCTATCATGTTTCATGGTGTGTGCTGTTGAATACTAAACAATGATTTGCCCGAGTGTCAAAAATATAGATAATGGGAAAAATTGCCCAATTTACATTCATTCATACTACTTGGTGGAGGGAATAAGAGGAACAAAACATGATTTCTGAGAAACAATGCAAAGACTGATGTTATACACTGGGAAGTAGTGTATAAATATAAAACATTTTATCCACAGTGAATCATACTTGAAATTATTAGGTGATCATTTAATAGCACAGGTATTACTCACGGACAGGTAAGGTCTGAAAGATCTCGATTTTGCTATACTCTCCTTGCCCTTTTCCATTTACAGCAGCCACTTTGATTTCATATGTTGTATTTGGTTCCAAATTGCTGAGAACAACCATTGCTAAAGGAAAGGGAAGAAAAAATATGGGAACAAAATTTGATGAAGGAACAAATTTTTTAAAAAGTCAACAAATTTCATAATTTCTTTGCTTCACTTGCAACTTAAGAGTCCCATTTTCTAATAGCCCTGTGGTTCCAAACTTAGCTTTCTTGTTGAGTGCTAATAGCCCTTTTTTTAATCTGCATAAAATCATTGTTGCAACTGAGCAATTTATGCTTCTGAAGGAATTTAGTACCAGTGTTACAGAAGCCATAGGCAACAAGTAAGGACCTTGATGGGGACTGATATTTTATGTTCAGATTGTGAGCACAGGAGACATGAGTCTGGCAAAAAATTATGGAAGTTTCCTTTCTCCTGGCTGGCAATGGGCATCTGACGTACATTCAAGCCACCTTCATACAGTCCATACTTGCCATTTCTCCCTCATAGACAGCAGTATCAACCATCTTTGGTCTACACTCCTGGATGCATCTATGTGCACATTAGTGGTGGATTACTGGTGCTGTGCTCTGCCAGTTCAACTGTGTTTTCAAGAACTAAAATGACAGGTGGCTATGATGATCAAAGGAAGAATTCTGAGTTATCTACGAAGGACCTGAAAGTGAATTAGCCATGTTTGGACATATTTAAAATGAGGTGTATGGAAATGCATATTAATTTATAACAAAAAAAAGTGATTTAGGAAGCCAACGGGTCTGAACTTAGGACTTGCTTTCAGAAACGAAGACTGAATCCCTGGCAGCAATCTTTCACACAGCCTGAACCTCTCTCTAGGATTCTACCTGGAGATGCCATCAGAAGCAGAAAACAGAATATTTCCAAAAAAGAATATTGTACAGCACTAAGATTATTGTTGCTGCAATGTGCAGCAACAAATCTAGAAACGAAATCCGAAAAAGGATGTTAGATTCCAGGATACTTCATGGGAATGCAGTACTATATATTACCATAGTAGTGTATATTACTAATATCAGTGTTGAATATGCACCTGGAAAATTTGGTCCACACAGAGTTCTTGGACCATTACCCTGCCTTTACAAGAAAGCTTCCTTTTATTGTCTCTACAGCAATTGCCTGCTTGCTGTTTGCCAGCTCTGTGATGAGCTCTCCAGATGTCAGATTCATACTGGGGAATGGGCATAAATTGGATGGACTTCACTTGAAGCACATCAGTATTTGTCTTGCCCAGAAAAGCAGGGGCTGTATTATCTCACAAGAGGATATATAATTGTAATGTCTTGAGAAAGAGCCAGTAGTCTCTTCCTCAGTCTCTAGGGAGTCTGCTTTTTTTCATTATAGAGGAGTATTTTAATAGTTGCTTTAGGCTTGCTTTTCAAGTTCTATATTTAATGAAAGTATAATTATTTCTGTCAGTACTCTTTGTTATTATTTTGAGTCCCGATTTATTAGAATTTCTATTTCATTAGTTTCTGCAGCAGACAGAGAGAGGTCCCATTACATGTGGAGTTAAAGGGATTTAATGAATTTTGGAAAAACAGTAACTCTATTATGAGCACTTTGCTTGAATTTGCCATTGAAACATGATAACTGCTTTCTTGTAAACAAAACAGTAGAATTGTATGTCTTCCAGCACATTTTAGCCTTATCTTTTTCATGAGACTTAAAAATATTAAACTATAAAGTATAACTATGTCATGAAAAAATAAAGTACCATCACGAGAATAAGAATAGAATTTGGAGAAAAGAAGGATTATGATATATAAAATTCAGTTATGGTAAGATGAAATTTAAAACCTAAACTAAGCAGTAGCAGTGTTTGTCTTGCCTTTCAGCCATACTTACTTTCCGAGGCTGAATAAATTCACTGAGAATAAACCTTAGGACATACTAAATATTAGTGTTACTGTAAATGTTTTTAAAATATAAACAACATAAAAGCATGACTATGAGTCTACACTTAATAAAACACGAATGTGTTAACTACATAAAACCCAAGGATCTGATTCTCTAAACACTTGAGTGACTCCTGGGGCCTATCTAAATGAATAAAATTACTCATATATTAAGTACTTAAAGAATCAGTGCCTACTTTAAAATCCCCTGCACAGCATTAGATGCAATGACTCTTACAAATGCATTTATGGAATTAACCCAACTAAATCTGATGGCATAATATGTCTTCAAAAACTGGAACCACTTGGTATCAGTGATGGTATGATGTGGATAGATTTTATACATAGGAAATAAAATTATAACTATGCCCTCCTGGAAAACAAAGAAAAGAACCATTACTGATCAGAATACTTTAAATACTCCAGTTGTAAAAAAATATTTAGAATAATTAAGTAAGGAACTATCCCATAGTATGTAACAAAAGTGCAGGGTTTAAAAGTAATCTAAGAGTAATGAAAGGTTTCACTGCTTGCTAAATGTTTTACATTTTTGAAATACATTGAGAATGGAAGAAAATACTTAATAAACTAGTTAATTTGGGTTTTTTTTTTAAGATACATATCTGTCATTTAAGTATAAAATCAGCTTATTCATCTTTCGATATACAAACAAACCTCTTCTTACAGTAGTCCACAGCTCACAGCCCTGGCCACAATGGTATTTTGATTACAGTTTTCAATGATTACTAACAAAATTAGCTGTAAAATTTCAAATAATATTCCAAAAGAAATACAGGAGTTTCACTTTCAGTATATGAATGTGAAAAAATTGGTCCACCGCATACTGTATGTGTGAATGCCATTGGCATATTCATTGGCATATATCAAGTCCCAAATATACTGAAATTCCTTTATTTCTTTCAGAATATTATTTGATTTTTTTCAGTCCTTTTCTACCTGTCCTATCTGTTTTTATGTTGTCTTTTTAATCATAGTATCTGCATGACTTATCTGAAGCATTCAATTTTGTAGACTAATTGATTTTGCTGGGATTATTCACATAGTGACTGGTTAATTTGAGGCGTAGACTTCAAAGAGCTACTCCAAAGTAAAACACCAGAAGATTCTCTTGTGAACTCTGCATGTATTGCTGGGTTCAATTAACAAGATGCACAACATCTCAGACCCTAGTGTCTTCCACTTATACGAAGACAGACGGGGAGGCTGCATGTCACGTGGTACCTCCACATGGATCTCCAAGGAGATCACTACAGAAGAAGTTACCAGTTATTTTGGTTTTGTTTTAATATACTGTATGGAGAGTTTAAAACAAAATTATAAATACTTTTTTGACAGTGTATGCAAGGAGCATTTTTTTAATTTCATATACCAGATTTTAAAAAGAAACAACACAACCAAAAAGAGCTAAACCTTACTGAATAGCAAAATTCAGTTCAACCTATTCTGCAGCAAGAATCCTAAAGTTTAAGCAACATTAAAACTGAAGTCCTTATTTTTTATTATACAGATTCTTCTAATTTGCAAGCAAATCTAAAACATTAAAGGATGAACACAGTACAGAAAAAAAAAAACCAACAAATTTATACTAAATAGATTAGAATAGACAAAAATTCAGAACTCCATACTATTTCAAATACAGAGTGTAAGCATTTCAGCTAGAAAAGCTTACTTTTTTGTTGCAGAATTTTAACTGCTATCAAGATGAAGCATAGGAAAACAAAATCTGATACAAGATTTGCCACGAAATAAATTGTACCATAAATCCAAGTCAGTAAAACCAAAACAAAAATCCCCAGCTGCTTTTCTTGTTCAGGGGTAGGTTGTTTATATTACCTTATTACAGTAGAATGAGGGGGGAAATGACTGGCATATTAAATTGTCTTTTCACCAAAGGAAATCTACCTCAGAAATCTTTTAAAGACTGTGATATATTACATAAACCATCGCCTAAGCAAGGAAGGTTAGGGGAACTAATAGTACAGTTACACTACATTAATCCCAAAGTAGATCTTATATGAGGTTAATTAACAGAAATATCACATCAATACATTGTTCTCATTGGAGAGCTACCTGTTGCATAGAACAATGTTCTTCCAGTTCCAAATTTAATCTTCTGAGGATGTCAGATCTAACTAAAGTAGGATATAAATTTATTTTGAAACAAAGTAGCTGAGACGTTTCATTGCTGAAATATCATAATCATTCATATATATTTCAGATAGTAGCAGCAGTGTGAAATTTCTGTCAAAGCAGCATTACAAATTTTTGGATTTTTTTTTTCCTATTTATTTTCCTCTAGTCTGAATCTCTATTATTATGCAGATTGAATGCAGATCGAATACAGTGCAGGTTAATAAATGAATTGTTTTGTTTTAGCAGCATTTTGCTGCACCTTTTACTCAATATTTTACTACTCTCAAGGAAAAACTGAGTCCTCTTGAAACACTTGAATCTCTTTCAGAGGAAAAAATGAATAACATTTTTATGAAGCTTAAACAGGTTTCTCTTTGTGATGATGACTCATGTTCTTTTAAGGACAGAAGAAAAAGACATGGGAAGAGAGCAGTGAGAACCTATGTTAGTAGGACATGTGAGCAGAACGGTGAGGTAGTATATATACTATGGTAGTATAGCATTAAGGTTCTGTACAAATGTCTCAGTCTTTTCTAGATGTCACACAGTCTGAGGAACTTCTCCCAAAACCTCTGTATGCCTGGCATGAGCAACATGGTTTTGTTTAATCTATGTGTTAGCACAATAGGAGGAAGAGTATAAAAACTCTTTTTCTAGCTGAGCTTCACCGAGTTAGCTCACAGAAGTGTTGACAAAAAGTTAGAAATTCCCATGGGGGAGAAATACAGGAAAGAAATAAAGGATTTTGCTACACAATAGGGAAAATGTTTATTCATATGCAGAAACAGTCACTCTGCCTCAGTTCCATCTGTCTGCCGTGCCCAAATAACAATTAATTTCATAAATACTGATTCAAACATCTGGCTATAACGACAGAATTCAACTAACACAAATAAATGAACTTTAATAATTCAAATATTTCAAGTTGCACATTATATGAAAAAACATAATGGTAGTGAATCCTACTGCCAGTGAAATCATTGGCATAACTTC